ATATATATATTTATATATATATGATATGAAAACAAGTATATGCAATATAATAGAAAACTTCATTGAAAGAATAAAACAAGAATAATCAGAATATGACACCAAAATATAGAATTCATGGATATGTATTCATAAAAACACTATCAATTATTTGAATTGATGAAGCCACTACGAGTTATAAAAAACTTGAAATATTAAATATATATTGTGCCGGCCATTTGAGTGAAGCAATGACTGATCAGGTTTTTCTTGTCATTTTTTTTTTATTTTTTTTTAAATTTCTCCCACTCGTGACTGATATCGGTCTTCCACTTGTAGCCCACTGTTCAGTACACAATACTACGTACAGAAACACGCTAACATATATACATGTATATATATATATATATATATAAATATATTACAAATATGTGTCAACCAAACGTGATATATTATACAAATACGACAGTGTTATTACTGTCTCGAAAGATGGAACATACTTTCAGACATTAATGCTTGAAACCCTGCATCCCATGTGGTTAGTCTATAACTATAGCTAATATATAGTACTTGAAGATTTATAATTTGATAAATGATAATTAACTAATAGAGCAAACTAAGGGTATATATTTAATCCCAGAAAAGGCCAAGACTTTCGACCTTTTGATTCCATGACTCGGCAAAAGAGAACTATGCAATTATAAGGAAAAAAAAAAAAAAAAAAAGAGCAATAAGTACTACTAAATACTAGTACGTTTTGTATCTGGATTCCATATTCAAGGGCAATCCTTTATTTATTTATTTATTTATTTTCCGTTGTTTTCTTCTCTAAATTAAATTTGGCATTTGGAAAGCACTATGTACGTGGTTTTGGAACGGTACTCATTATAGCGCATATTTATCAAATAGAATTTATTGTGCTCAGAAAGTACTTTAAAGTATGTTATCTCAAAACATAGATTAGGTGAACTGAAAAGACGGCATTATCGCCTTTTATCTTATTAATTCGTTACTTAACTTCTCACTTATGACTCACTGGCACCCTAATCAGTTTTGTTGTTTTTGTGTACACCACCAAGTAATCAGATCAGACAGGCAATTAGTAAATTTTCTAGCACGTAGAAATTGAAATTTGTTCTACTTCTACTTTTGCTTTAACAAAAGTAGTGATTCTATTAAAAGTACGGAATCTCAAACTCACTTTTAAGAGTGTGTTTAGTTAGAGGGAGAGATAGAGGGGGTGAAAGAGGAGAGGTGAGGAAGAGGGTTAATCACTTGTTTGTGGAAGAGAGCAGAGATGGAGGTATGTGCTCTCTTTCATGACCCACCAAATTAAATCTTTACATCAATAGAATGATTCAAACAATCCTGTAATGTTAAAAATAATGTTTTACGCTCTACATAAGTTGTTAACAAATGGTTTAAATGGACAATATAATAATTTAATAAATAACTATCATCTATTCTTTTAACTCTCTCTATTTTACCAAACAATATAAAACATTACTATAATTCTTTTAATCCCTTCAACTCTCTTCATCTCTCTAATTAAACAGACCCAAAGACAAGGGAAAAAAAAGTTAATATGATCACATTGATTAGGCCCTACCCAACGAGAACATTGTGACGTAAGCCCAACAATTAATGAAATGCACTATATATAGTAGTTGTGGAAGGGCCCGATTGATGGAGTTTTTCATTTTGCTTTTGATTAGTAAAAAAAGCTACAACTTCTCGATTACTCTTTCAAACTATATTTATAAAAGTGCTTAAATGAGTTTAATGGTTTTTAAATTATCTAATAAGTAATAAAATTGGGACAGTGAAGTTTATATAATGTTTTATTTAAACTCTACTATCAATATTAAAGTCTATTCAGAAGAATTGTTTTTAGAAGTCATATTTTGTGGCTTTAATTGCAAGCTTTTTTAAAGATGAAATCACTTTTAATAGAATGTCCAAACACTTAGAAGCAACTTTTGTTCTCAAGAAGCCAAAATCAGTATTAAGGAAGCCTTGTCAAATAAGCCCATTGTGTGTTTAGGGCTCATTTAGATTGGCTTAAAAAAACTGTTTTGCGTTTTTTTAGTCCAAAAATCACTTTTAAACTTGTTTTGATAGACAATCTTAAAGTGTTTTTAGTTTTTTTAAGTACTTTTAGAATAAATCATCTCCTTAGTGTTTATGAAAAAAATGTTTATAAAAAGTATTTTTATTTACATTTTTAACCTTTTATTTGTCAGCAATAAATTAAATATCTGATTTATATATTTTTATTACATTATTTTTTATAACAATAAGTATTTTTAACTTTTTTATCCAAATAAGTTCAAAAACTCTTCTTAGATATACAACCACTTTTTCAAACACCATCTAAACACTAATTAAAAAGCTCCAATTTATGTTTATTTTCTTCTACTACTTAAAAATACAAACACAAATTATCCCAAACCGGCCCTCTTCATCACTATTTTGGTTGTGTGGATAAACATTAATGGATAGACTCAACATTTTAATGTTTAACTATATATGAAAATCGAACATATGTATTAACTACTCTACAAATTAAGAAGAAGAGGAAGATGATTGTTATGTAAGCTGTATAATCAATAAGTTCTAAAATTAACATGTAAATTTGTGATCAATTAAAAAGATGTGATAATGATTGATTCAAAGGTTGATATTGATGATCTTCACCAAGTTATTTATAGCATCTCTGTTGAAAAAACAGCAATTCTCTTTATATCTCAACTGTAGAACATATATAATAAATTATTTATCTAAAGAAAACAGAGTATTGAAATCAAGGTGGCGAATATTGCGGAAAAAAACAATTAAAACGGACATTTATTTTTCTCAAAAAAAAAAGTGTAAAAAAAGGAGTTATTCACTAGTTCTACCTTCCGTTTATGCTAGCTAGCTACCAATATGGCAATCTCCAATAGAGGTATTGTCCCTGTGTAGATGGAATGTCATCTGTTAAGACGTGTTGTATACGAGGCGACGTGTCGCACAAGATAAAGGAAACTTTATGGTAAATACAGATAAAATCTGTAGTAAATGTCAAACGACATGTCGTTCGTGGAAGCAGCATGTTATGAGTAGTGACAATATATTGTAGGTCCAGAATTCACGAGATCGATCAACCCATACAAAAAAAACTAGTGTATTATGAGTTGAGAAAATATAAATTAAAACCAAAGTTTTTAGTTAGTTTATTTATGGATTGTAATGTTGTGGATGAATCGTAATGTTGCCTTAATTTAGTTTATTTTTGAGTTCAATGATGTTATAATTGTTTTATTATACACTCGTTCGTATAATGATATATTTATTTTTAGAATTATTATCACTTATACATCTTAAATTTTAGGGTCACCTCCACTTTGCCTCCTGAACCTTAAAAATTCCCACTTTATTGCCTTAAATTTTCACAAACTTTCACTTTGCTCCTTCCGTCTAAATTTCTATTTAAAAAGGACGGAAAACGTCTCACGTGCACTCATGTACATGGTATTTGAGGGTAAAATCATAATTAAATTTGTAGTGATTTGCACCTATGTCCCTTAAATTTTAGCGTCACTCCCACTTTATCCCCTGAACTTTGGAGTCTCCCCCACTTTACCCATTGATTTTTTTCATAACTTCCACCGTACTACCACAAACTTTACATCTTTCTCACTTTGCCCCCTCTACTTGATTAAGATTGGTACCTGCTCACTCGCCTCCGTAGTAATCCGATCACTAAATACAATTTTTCTTGTTTTCTCTGATTTTCTAAACAAAGTTTGATGTCCTTTTTATCATTTTGCTTTCTGTTTGAATAATTTTCATTGATTTGCTCCGAAAATATCGATTAAAGTTAACCTAAAATATACAAATTCATTTTAGAACACTTCGTCAACTTTTTGTTGATATCTCCAAAAAATTTTCGCTAAAAATTTCATCATTTAATACTACACTTTGTAAAATGGGAGAAATTCAATATTTGAAGTAGAATGAGGGGAACAATGAAAAAGTTCATGGGGCAAAGTGGAGGCGACGTCAAAATTTAAGGGGCAAAGTGGAGGGGACCTTAAAGTTTATGAGGCAAAGTGGGGGCGACTGTAAAGTTTATTGGGCAAAGTGTGGTGACTCTAAAGTTTAAGGGGCATAGATGTAAATTACTAAAAATTTAATTACGATTTTACCTTCAAATACTATGCACGTGAGTACAAGTGAGACGTTTTCCTTCTCTTTTAAACTGAAATTTAAACGGACGGAGCAAAGTGAAAATTCATGAAAATTTAAAGTAGTAAATAAAGTTCAAAAATAAAATAAAAGTGACCCCAAAGTTCAGTTCAGTAGGCATAAGTGATAATAACCCTTATTTTTATTATCATATAACTTATAAAATCTTGTTCTTTTGTGAGAGTAATTGGTGCTAAAATGAGCTTTTACGGGGCTAAATTTTAGAGGCCCAAATTCGACGTCTAAATTGCAGAAACCACGTCCAATTATCAAAAAAACAAAACAAAACAAAATTGCAGAAACCACAAAAATCAACCCGTCAAAACAAAAACTTTTGGTTTAGGTTGAGTTGGGTTTCGCTGGATTTTTGGTTTAGTTTAGAGTAAAGGAAATCTCAAACCAGTAGTTTTAGTTTTTTTTTGCTGTAAAAGTTTGGTTTGCGATTAGACCTCCAAACCGTAAAAACCAATTCCCAAAACGCCTTTTTAAATGTTTTAAGGTCCTGTTTATTTTATCGATTTAAATTTAAAATTCAAAATTTGTTACAGTAAAAAACTCTCAGAAACAGTCACATTTAACTTTTTTGCGACAGTAAAAAAACTCACATAAAATTACATCTCAACTTAAATTAAAAACTCAAATCAGTGAACTAAACAGACTATAAGTGGCGTTGACTGGAAGTATGTCTAAATTGTGTAAAATATGGAGGCGACTTATCATGAAATTGACTCGTCGTTTTATAGTTTTCATGTCTTATTTTTGCATGTTCATCGACATATTTGTTATCTGTTAATCATCTCCAATAGTTCCATGTTAGGGATCCTCTCTGTGATCTCTTTCTTTCTCTCTTGCCAAAAACATTCCTTGTGGTCAACAAACGCATCTTTTTAATCAAACTTGCTCGAAAAAGATTGACTTTATTTTTCTGAATATTTCACGTCATACATACCTTGTCAAAACATTTTGGGATTCATTACCATACACATTGTTACTAGGAGCCGCAGACTCCGGACGTTGATTCTAGCTGTTAGAAAGACACAATTGATCAATACACAATAATTAGCAAAAATTGAGAAAAAGAAAATTAATTAAGTTTCAATTACAAAACAAACGTGTCAAAATATTAGTTAATACATTTCAGGGAAAAAAAAAAGATCAGTTAATGAGTATGAGGAAGAAGCAATTCTATATTTACCATGCATGCATGTATGTCATCACATCCACACAATAGCTTCCCATTAAGCGTATCTACAGCTTGAAATGCTCCTCCTCCTTCACTCCTCTGCTTATAAGCCAACAATTATTTGAACCAAAAAAAAAAGTGTATCATGTACTTTATAAAGAAATTTAAATACACAACTTTAAAAAAAATAAAAATAAAAACAACAACAATGAAGATAATAAAACCTTGTAAAAATCGACGGCGACGAAATTAGCCCACCGGTTGCCAGCAGAGCCATAACAAGTTTGGAGCATTTTAATAAGATCAGCAGAATTATTTTCGCAAATCAGTTGCTTAATGGGAGCAGAATTAAAATGGTTAACCAAAACCAAAGATTTGCTTTTGTCATCAAGTGGTGACGATTCTACTCTATTGGAACAACTTCCCGCTTCCATTCCTTTATCCCCATCTACAAATTTAATGGAAAATTAAGCTAGAAAAAAAACATATTAGAGGCTATAATTTAAGCATAAATATGTACCCCCCAAAAGATTTAAAAAAAAAAAAAGATTCTTACAGTTATTTTCAACCATGTAGTTCCATTGGTATGCAATTCCTTCGGTTTCTTCTTTGGATTTGATGGAAGTGAACACAATTAGCCTTTGGTTTTTAGCAACCATATCACTGACCAGCGGCCAGTCTTGATCACTTTTGGGCATATTTGTCACTGGAAACCAATATTTCATTAGCCCAGCTTGTGTGAACACCTTTGTCAATCCGTTTGGGGCTTTGACATAATCTTCCAAGATCAATGTCACAATTTCTGTCGGATTTGCTGATAGGAATGCTTCAATTTCCTTGAGTGTTTCTATAGCCGATCTCTACACACGTACATTTTAAAAAATATAATAGTATAGTTGCAAATGTGTACTGTAATAGTGAATTTTTTATGCACTAAAGGGCATATATAGAATTTCACAAATTGATTACTTTAGGTCCTGTTCATTTCACCGATTCGAGTTTAGAATTCGAGGTTTGCTACAGTAAAAAGCTCTCGAAAACAGTCGCATCTAACTTTTTTTGCTACAGTAAAAAGCTCTCATATAAAATCACATCTCAACTCGAATTAAAAACTCGAATCAACGAACTAAACGAGCTCTTAGTTTTACGTACAAAAGCAGTGTAGATATGGCATTTTCCCCCAAAAGAATGGCACAACCAAACATCTCCTTGAAAATCATAGGCATCGAGCATTAAGCCCCGAACTCCGTTCTGTACATGAATGGTAAAAGTTATATGTTGATGTAGAAAAATCTTACTATGGAATAAAATTAAAAGTACATAAATTGAAAATGAATTAGAAGAGAACAGTTAATAATCTTCCAGATCTTGTGACGGGGTATATAATTTAAATATTTTGTTTTTATCTTATATTTACTTACTGTAGCTCTAGTATTATTTAGAGATTAGATAAGTATTTATCTTATTATTATTTAATTTAGTCTAGTTTTAGTATTTAGAGATTAGATTAGTATTAGATTAAATTCAAACTACTCATATAGCTCTATATATATATTGCATTATTATCAATGGAAAACTTATATCATCATTCTTCAAAGTCTAGAACTATTAATATTATACCGTACGTTTAGCTGTTGAGTGACGCTATCTTCTTGATTTGTCACGGTTAATCGAGGTGCTCCATCATCAATTGCGAAAGCGTTGTGAGTTGTCAAGAATGCATATTTGTTGAAAGGTAGAGAATTGTTCTATTGAAAATCCAAAAAAAAAAAAAAAAGGTGAACCACTCACAATCAATAATGCAACACAATTAGTAGTATAATGATATGAATAAATAATAGAGAAATGTTCAAGCCACAAAAAAAAAAAAAAAAAAAAAAGAAGACAACCCGGTGTGAGGTACTTAAGGGTAGAATCTACTTTATAATAATCGAATAGTGAATATGTCAACCTCGCACACAAGGACAGGCCTGTGTCTCTTGGGATACTGGGCCTAGCCCTTAAAATGGCCCGTATTCTCTCGGACTTCTCCCATGTTATTGTCGTTTATGGGAATTGCAGAAAACCCACTCTCTCTTTACACTTGTTTTGAAGTAAAAAAGCAGGTTTTAATGCATTTTACAACCATGTGACCAATTAATAAGACAATTTTCTCGAAGCAAAAAAGATTGACAAGAATATTTTCATTAATGAAAGAATCTTTCTAATTGTGATACTCAAAATATGTGCGCATAGAATCACTCGTGGAATGATTCGAATTTTGACTTTTGAAAAAAAAAGACACACGTAGTGCTTGTTTAGTTTGTTAATTTGAGTTTTTAATTTGAATTAAGATATAACTTGATGTAAAAAAATTTTAGTATAGTAAAAAAGTTAGATATAACTGTTTCTGAGAGCTTTATACTGTAATAAAATTTAAATTCTAAACTCGAATTAATAAAATGAACGGAATCATATTCTTCTTATCGACACATTATTTAAAAAAAAAAAGAAAAAAAAGATGATTTTTTATTGAATGATGACAATTAATATAATTTAATTACTAATTGAGTATAGATATAATTATATAAATTATATAAAAGGACACAACGGGAAATATCTTATAAAAATCTTAAAGACAAAAGTCAATTTTCAGAACATGTACTGCCTGCCTGTCTCCGCCGCTGGGGCCATTGTTTTGAGTGGTGACAAGTAGCTACTAACTAAAAGCCTCCTAAAAAAACTGCCTAAGCGTCAAGTTTGTTTGTTTTACAGATGATAGAACGTCACTAATTTGGTTAGTTTGTCTCGTCTGATTTGTGAATATCACCGCCCCATCCCATTGGGCCTCATTCCTTTTTGGCCCAATCGGCTAATCCTTTGTTTGGCAAGAGAGCGGAAATGACAAGAAAAAAGATTTTGAGATTTATGGTTGCTTAGTAAAGAAAAAGGAATCATATTGAGTGATGAAAAATTTTAATTTTAATCTATCTCATTATGTTAGAGCCTACAAGGTATTCCTCCTCTTTTCTCTTTATTTTCTTCACCTGTATGTTTGATTATACCTTTATTTCCTTTCTATAATATACTCTCTCTTACTAAATATATACCAAACGGAGTCTTCTTTCTCGTTCCCTTGTGCAATATAAAAATCATATATATCATGGATTTTCTAAACTAAAAAAAATATATCAAATAATGATTAGATATATTCTGAAAAAAACAGAGAGAGAATTACCACGAGCTTGAATTGGTTTGTAGCTGTTGATCTCACACACCTAGTGCCTGAAAATCCTTGTGGACAAGAAAAACAATACAGCCCAGATTCGCAATCTCCATCATTTGAACATTCATCCAGAAGCTGCACGTACAATATCATATATAATGAAACTACGTAAGGGCAAACTTTTTTCCTATATATTTATATGTTTCATTTCATAACTTATTCATAGAATTGAAAAAAACCATCCAATAAGTGATCCTGAAATGAGAGGGAGAGAGAGAGAGATGACTAATTACCCGGCACTTCCCATTGGAGCAAGATGTGGCAACGCTGAAAAGCACACAAACTGTGACCAAAACGAAGCTCGGAAGAAAACCCATTTGAAGAAAATGAAAATGGTGAACTACAATTATATTTAGGACTGGTTTCTGGAGGGGGGTTTTTTTTTTTTTTTTATATATAGAGATGATCGTGGGGATTTTAGGGGAAAATCTCTAAGGTTCCGGTTTTCTCAGTTTCGGCTGAGAAAACAAAGAGGGAAACTCCATAGGGAAAACAGGCAGGTAAAAAATTGAGAGTATTATATCCGAATGACAGGAAATACATATTTGGCCATCCAATTACTATTCATTATTATTTAACGACAATGACGTGGGGAACTACTAGAAGCCAAACGACGAAGTTTCAGATATAAGGTTGGTAACTGTAGGATTGACTCAGGGCCCTTTCAAGCACCATATTATTGTGTACTTTTGCTTGCGCAAACACTCCATCAGAGATATATATATATATATATGTATGTATATGTATACGTGTATATACACACACAAACACATACATATGTGTTGCGTGAAAACTCGCAAGTATACGAATCGCACAAGTAATAAAGTGTACAAAGTGTACAAAAGTATGGATATCAATCCCACGAGAATTGTGTTTAGCTTTCGTTAAATACCAATATTGATTAGCTTTTAGGATTATTTTTATATATTTTTATAACTAAAAGAAAATAAAAATGTAAGCAATTGCAAATAATCGAGCTAGGACTTCCCAATTTCCCCTTGATTGCAAAATGCTAAAGCTGTGCTAAAGAAATGCTACAACATTCTGTACTAGTTAACCAAACTCAAATTTGTGCATAAAGTTCTTCCGAATTAATTATGACTATAATTCCTCAAACCAATTTCATCATATTCCTATGTGAATCTAGTTCATGGAATTCCAATTTCAAGTTCGGGTTTATTAGGTTATACAACGTAAACGATATATTCATATACCTTCTACTAATCAATATATTTCTATATTGAACATGCATCATCCATGTAAAGTCCAACATAAATTAATTTTTCCAAATCAATCTAAGTCTAGTTCTACATTTGATTTCCATCAAAAATAGAAATTAAGCAAGTAAATACACATGAGTGAACAAGCACAAGAATACTATAAACAATCCAAAAGTAAAAACTAAAACATCACAATATTAGTTCCACTAGGAGCCTAGCTCACAAAATTAACTAAATAACATCAAGGATTTTATCATTTATAAATTACAAAAATAAGAGGTAAGATAAGGAATCAAAAACCCATTTTAGGAGTTGTCACAAGCTCCTAAACCCTCCATCTTTTTGTTCTTCACAAAATGAATTCTCCCTCAATAATTTATTAAAAATAAAACCTAAATCTAATAAAATAAAAATATTTGTTTTGAGATTTTTTCTCTCTTGGAAAATGGGCTGAAAAGCCTTATTAATGATTCTCATTTTCTTTCTTTTGGTTTTCTCGGGCTCTTTGTGCCTTGGCTTTTTTTCCTCAGGCGGCTGCCAAAGAATCCCCTGTCGCTCTGCCTCGTCTCTTCTTTTTTCTCTTCTATGAAAGCCTTCAAATCCCCCCCGTGTAATCTCAGCACTCATGAAACACAATGTCGTATGCCTCAGCCAATTCTCCTCCGTGAGTTTTGGGCTTTCCTGGGCTTATGGGCTGAAACCTGGCAGGTTACTCAGCTTTTACCCATCCCTGGAGGCTGGTTTAGTAACCCCTGATTGTGGGCTTCTGGGCTGGATTCGTATGGGCTTCTGGGCTGAATTTGTGTGGGCTTTTGGGCTGGATTTGTGTGGGCTTCTGGGCTGGATTTCACTCACGCGCAAGAATTCCATTTTGAGGCTAATTCAAATTCGAATTTTTTCTTGCATTTCTTTCCCAATTTGGATTTCAATTTGCACTTAAGCCCATCTATCACTAAAATTAAATTACATAATGAGAAAAATAATTATTTTGAAAGGAAACTAAATAAAAATAAAATAAAATAAAAATACCTAAAACAAACTAAAAATAAAATTAATTCCAAATAAAATAAAATGAAATAAAAATAAGATAAAAGTATTAAAAACTAAATAAATTCTCAAGAATAAGCATACTTTGTAATCCACAAAATAGGCTAAATAACTCCATTTCATGGAGTTATCAATATGCATTAAAACCGTGGCTCATCATGGCCTTAAACGATTGATTTTTAAAAACCTTGGAATATACAGAGTAATTTTAGGCTACTTTATCCATTATTTTTAATTGGCTTTTGTGTTGCTGTGAAGTACTACTAGGTGGTTCATCTACTGCTTCGCGACACTTATTCCTTGATTAAGAAACACGAAGGTGGCCAAAAAAGTGACACAATCCATTACCATTCTCTCTCTCTGTCTCTCTATTAATATTATAACAGACCGACAGTTTAATACTCTTTCTTATTTTATTTGCGGACAGCTCGTAGGATGGAGTTATAAAATTTACATAAAAATAGACATTTTCAGAAAAATTAGGGGGCAAAAATAAGAAAGGGTGTAGAGAAATTCATGTGGCAAAATAAGAAAAACTAGGGAGAAAATTATAACTTCATAAAAAATATATAATGAGGCCAAACTTAAAATTTTACATATAACCAATCATGCACTATATGTTCTCGACAAGTCCCAAGAGAATGGTTAGGGTCAAAATTAGCATCACGATTATCACCGTACACGTGGATAATATATTTAAAGAAATAGGTCAACTCTAGTCGACTGAAATCAATTGAAGATCAGATCGGCTCGAGACGATTAGAGAAGACTAACGACATGTTGAGTGTGGGGACCACAACTAATATTTCGGGAAATGAGATTCCTTGGAGGCCATGAAAATTATCTCACTCAAATTCTACATTAAGGGCATAAATCTAATCAATATAGAAGAGGAAAGATAGTAAAGAGCAAATATGGAAAGAATGAAAGGAAAAGTCAACTAAAGAAAAGAGAAACTATCCAACTTAAGAGAAAATGAAAGTAGAAGACCTTCTCCTATAAATAGGAAATAGAGGTCGAATTAGGACATCTTGAAACCCTCACATCACACCCAGATTCTCTCTCTCTAGATTCTCTCTCTAAAACCCCTCCTCCTTCTTCTTCTCTCTTTATTCTCCATTGTAATTGTACTTTTTACAAGAGATAGTGAAACCTTCGGAGCCCTACAGTGGACATACCTTATATTATTAGGGGAACCACTATAAATTCATGTGATCATTTATTTTTTTGCATTTTACGTTCTCGTTTTAGCGCTCTATCAACTCAATAACGTGATCGACTCCCGGGAACGGCCATCGGCCAATGGCCCTCTACCCAACTTTAATTGTAAATCTGACTTCTACAAGAATCTTCAAAAATTAAAATATTTTTGTGCTTCATATGACCTGCATATTGTATCATTAAAAGTTATTAATTGATTGGTACATGACTAGTTTCATTAAATTTTAGAAATCCATCATCAATTTTAAAGTTACAGATAAAAAGTTTCAGAAAATATTAAGTTCAAAGACTCGCTCATACAAAAGAAAAAAAAAGAATTTAATAGAACTGTCATTCACATAAAAGCTCCGGACAAGAGCGTCAAACTATGTATATATATATATATAATATATAAGTATAGTTTCACATCATATAATTATATAAAAAGCCTTCATAAAATTAAAATCAAAATAGGATTTAAATTAAAAAACAGAGTTTTTCGATATACCAGGGGTAAAAAATCTTCAAGTAGCCAGGTTCAAAATTGTCAGAATTTCATTAAATTGTCAAATTTTTTATTAATCTGATTTGATTCTGATGTTGCCTCCTTATTGCCAATACACGATAATGCTTTTTTTTTTTTAATTACAGTACATGAATTAAAAAAGAAACGAAAGAAAATATTAGTTGGACACTCGAAAATGAAATGGAAACCCAACCTCAGGCCATCCCTCCTTAACGAATTGCGACCTCTATACGGAACTCTTTTTGTATACAAATTTAATTTTTTTTCCCTCAAATCTCTTGTTGTACACGCTTTTGATAACATACTGTACGGACTCAATTCTATTGTTTAATTTATGCGCCTTAATTAATATTTAACTAATTAAATTATACCTCGTCATGTAAAAAATTTAAATTAATTTTTAATTAATTTTTTTTATATTTATTATGAGATAATGTAATATGATTTAATTAATTAGACATCAATTAAGACACTAACAATTAGACAACAAATTTAAATCCCATACTGCACATACACTTCCATAATCACAAATTCAAAAGTTAAAAAGGGAATCAAACTAAGATATAACCAACTCAATGTCGACCATTTATAGCAACAAAAGCCACAGGTACAATACAAGAATACAATTATTTATGATAATATATTTTGTTTAATTTATTCTTTTGATTTGATAAATTTTACAACAAATTATTAATCTATTTATCTTGCGATGAGAAGAAGTGGTTGACGGAAGGCATGACCTCCGGTGGGCGAGTCCGAAGGAACTTGCGGAGGCAGTGCTCTGCGTACTTCTCTCCCTCCTCTTTGTTCTCAAGCACTCCCATGCTCCTATGAGCTTTGTTAATCCTGCAAAATTAACACATATATATGTATATATACACCATTATATTTGATAATTAAAAACATTACCACAAAAATTACTTTCTTTTTAATTAATGAGATTGTTTTGGTTAATAGTACTTTAGTTGTGTATGTAATATGTACCTAACATCAGGGTTCAAGAACATATTCCTTGTAAGCTGGAAGACACACATGCTTGTCACAAATGTCATGGCAGCCATTAACGGATAAACCTAATTACATATGCCCACAAAATGCATTAATCAATAAATGCAAAAAGTAATAAAAAGAAAAAGTGACTGATATAATGACGTTAGTGTTTTTCTTAATCTAATTAATCAAAAAAATAAAGAAGAAGAGAGAGACAAAAAAGTGCTTAGTGTAAATAGGGGTGTTTATTACAATAAACAAAACAAAAAAAAAACCGATTGCTCACCTCTGGCTTAATCCAACGGCCCATGATATACTGCTATTGCTTCTCTAAACTTATGAAAAATATGATTCACCAAACAACTTTGAAGGGCCTTAAGCAAATATATTTTCTTATGTGTATTGAAATCTTTTAACTGTTTATATATTGAAATTTTGTGTGCCTAGACATATATATATATATATAGAGGTGATGATATACGTGTAATGATTTAGAAAAAGAACAATTTAAAATGAATGCCTCTGAGGATGCAATTACGGTGGGCTGTCCTAAGCATTTGACTCGACCCAAAACCAGGGGCTCAGCCACTTGTTTTCTTTCTTATCTCAACTCTTTTGATGGCCCAATAGCCTTTCCCGTTGAGTTTGACAATGCATATTTTCTTAGAATGTTCCTTATTTTCCTTGAGAAGAGAATTGACTCTTCTTTTGGATATGACTTTGATCTCGTTTTCTTTAATCCAAATTTTGATTCGACGAAAAACAAAAGGTAAAGACTTAATGTGTAACCATGTTTATCTGGTCAAGTTTAGTAACGGATTGCTTTGTTTGAATTGGTAAGACAATGATTATTCTTTGAATAGAAAAACCAAACTATAACTTTGCCTGCAAAAAGAGGTTTCTAGGTTTGAGATACTAACTTAATCCAATTGGATTATATAACGAATCTGTTATAACTTTTTTTTCCTCTTTAAAGGAAACAAATCTTATATCATACTGTTAGATCTGTTTTTTCACGTCTGGCATTCTAGATGGTATTGTAACACAGTTTGAGGCATGCCTTAATTAATTAAAGATTTTAATTAATTATGTTTAGTTTTTAGAGTAGAATAAAGTGCAAAAATAAAAAGAACATGCAATATAGTATCGCAGTTCGGTATATATACCTACATTTGCAAGGTCATACCCAAACAGTAAACAACTCACTATGTTTCAAAAATTACAAACACTAACAGACTTACTCACATAGGACTCCCTCCTAGACAATGATACCGATGTGACGAATCTCCACAGTGATGCTGTTTAGTGTGCACCACACGTATTCTATTTACTCGGTGAACTCCCTTTGACTGACAGAGTTTTCTCCCGAAAGTAACAAGCCTGTTTCCCGAAAGGCGTAATGATTAACACTCAAATGCTCTCAAAAGCACATACGTTTCTCTGAATATGTCTCTGTAAAAGCTCCCAAACTCACATGCTTTTTTTCTGAATATTTTCTCTATTAAATCCATATACTTTGTGAGTAAAAATGAGACCTTTAAATAGAACAATTAAGACTTCTCGATAATCTTCTCAAACTCTATGATTTTCTCTCAACAATATCTTGCACTTTTACTTCTTTAATGAAGAAGCACAATATCTTCACAAAATCTCCTTTCAAAGTAACTCCACTAGAAAATCTCTTCAGAAAATCTTCCACGATTTTCTCTCAAAATAAAATCTCCATGATTCTCTCTGCTAAAAAGTCTTTGAAATATCTTCACAATATTTTCTCAAAGAATCTGCACAATGTCTGATTTGAGATCACCATATATGTTGCACATAATCCGTAGCATAATCTTGAATTTTGAATTGCGTAGCTTTAGGGCTTGTTTAATTTGTTGATTTGAGTTTTTAATTCGAGTTGAGATGTGACTTTATGTGAACTTTTTACTGTAACAAAAAAGTTAGATGTGACTGTTTCTGAGAGCTTTTTACTATAGCAAAACTTAAATTTTAAATTCGAATCGGTAAAATAAATGAGACCTGAATTTTCACAAAGTCAACCTTACCAACTTGACACCGAATCCGACTAGTCTTGCAAGCAATATCCTCATACGATCATGTCCTTTATCTGCACACTTTTCTAATTTCAAAAATCAAACCATGTACTGCACTTATAAAGCAATTTGAACTTCTTGCTTATCACGTCCACGTAATTAGCTTTTAATCACCAAGAATCCATATCTGAATTTTAAAACCAAGCATATATTCTCACGCAAAATCAGCAGCAACTTTAAACCTCATAATCTGCATCAAGATCGTCTCTGCAACAACACAAAAGTATATCTTTTTTTCAAATTCGAATTCAAATATAACTCAAATTCTAAAATCAAATCAAATCAAGCCGAATTTACCGAACAATCTGGATAAAATCAAATTCAAATGCTCCATAAAAATCTCTGCTCTAAATATGCTACGATACTCATTCTTAATCTGAATCTGCACCAAAACATCTAGAACCTATTTTTAAATTTTTTAGAGACTATTGTCAAATCATGCCAACGAGATAAAACACCTAACAATAACTTGGCAGAACGAATATGTGTATCTATACATCAATCAAAAAAATATCTCCCTACTGATTTTGTATGTCTCTTTTTCTCATGCAAAATCATTGGTTGTGTTTGGAGTTGTTTTTGTTTTTTACATTTTTCGCAAAAGAAAAAATGAAAACGGGAGAGAAACGGCGCTTGATAAAATTAAAGACAAAAAACGGAAATGAAAACGATTTTTTAGTTTAGTATAAAATGAGAGAGAAATGAAAAATGACTTTTAGTTGTTTTTTATTTTTTGTTTCCGTTTTCTCCTCTCTCGAGTAGAAAGAGAAAGAGAGAGATATTAATGGATTTTTTATACTGAAAATAACCTATTGATAAAATTACTAAGCATATTTTTAAAAATAATTTATGTCTAAGATTGAAAACTTTTTCATTTCTATTTTCATACAAAAAATAAAATTATTTTAGAACGAATTCTTAACACACTCATTCATTGTGTATAGTGGCCACGGCTTATATGCATACAAAAGTTGCATCTTCACCATTTCAATGGAACTTACGGATAAATTATAGTGTCTAATATGAGAAAACGACAACAAACCTGAAAACAATGAAAAAACGACAAAATAAAAGAAAAATAACAATTTTCTCAAATAAAAAAGAAAAATAACAATGAAAAAACCCGGCAAATCGATTAGACATTGAAACGACAACATCAATAAGAAATGGAAAAAAATGCCACAAGAACTAAGAAACCACAGAAACCAAATAAATTGTAAGCAAACTAAAAATAAAAACTAAATCGAAAGGAATAGAAAAAAAACATAATTGCAAAACAAAAACGCAAGGAAATCTAAAAATGAGTACGGACAATAATGAAATTTGATGTAAAGATCGGCTGACATTTAGGATAAGTCAAGAGGGTGATGTGGCAATGCACTATTGGTGTACAGAAGATTAAGGAGAGCAGCAATGCAGAGGATCAAGAAAACTAAGGATTTGTTATTTTGGAGTTTAACTTGAGTATAATTCTTGAGTTGAATTTGAGTTATAACTTGAGTTGAACTTGTAACTTAAGTTTGTATTTGGTTGTGTACATTTGAGTTATGATTTGAGATAAGAATTTTTTTGAGTTTGTGTTTGAGTGAGTCAAAACTTAAATTTGTATTTAGATAGTATTTTAATAAAAACTCAATGCTGATGAAAAATTTTAATAGGGTATATGGGTCGGGTTTTATTCATCTTTTCGTTGTCAACGCATAGAAAAAAAAATCATCTCAATCAGAATTAAAACGAAAAAGTTATAGCATTTTTAAGAATAAAAAAAATACTGTTCATTAATTTGAGTTCGAGTTTCTGAACTCGAGTTGAAGGGGAAACTTGAACTCGAGTTTTAGTCCTAAACTCGAGTTTGAATTTGAGTTTAAACTCGAGTTTGAATTTGAGTTTAAACTCGAATTTAAACTTAAAAGAACATGAACTCAAATAAAATTATAACTCGAGTTGTATTTTTTGAGTTTTTTACTCAAAAGAACAAGCCCTAAGAGTCTGTTTTGTTCTATAACTGAAACTCGTTATTCTGATTCTACTCTCTCATAAAAAAATTGAAAAAAACATTCTCATCAATAGATTTTCTTACAACCTTTGAATTCATAATTAAAATCAAGTGACTTTTATGTGCTAACCAAATTGGCCATGAGGCACTTAGACAGTTAGTTAGGAATTAGCCGTTAGATATTAGCCAATCACCTATTTTAATCTGATAAAAAATAAGCCTTGATTTACTTGATATATTGCATGGTACTGTACGATTGATTTATTGCAGTTGCTAATAAAAATTATAGTCTTATTCTTTCTTCTGAGTTCGATCAGTGTCGTGAATTGTTTCCAGTGAATTGCTCGTGACAGAAAAAACGACAAGAAGGTAAAAACGAAAACAAAAGTTAAAACGTTATTCAGAAGGAAACGACATCCTATGAAAAAGTCAATAACTTTGAAAAGGCAATCGAACGTTAAAACGATACATCATGAGAAACGACAACAAAAAGTTATTTAAACGACAGTAAGATGAAAAAAAAAAACACAAAAAGATAAAAAAGACAAACCCCCCCAAAAAAAATTCGACAGAAACTGTAATGACAAGAAAAGCGATCAGACATTTTAAAACGACAACATCCATAAATTGCGAATATAAAGAAAAATGTTATAAAAATGAGAAAACGACAAAGATTAAAGAACATTGAGAAGATACTTTAAGAAAAAGGAAAGGAATAACAGCAAGAAAAAACGACAAGCACAATAAAAACTTTGAGAAGATACTATAGCACTATGAGAAACGATCCCATAATAGTAGAATATCACAACGTGCAAGAGCGATCCAGTTTTTGAAGACAACAATATCAATGAAAAATTGGCACTAGGCCAAATGAATTTGCAATGTTGTACACGGTGATGGAAAATAAAAAGGAAGACAAGGATTAACAGAAATGGAGATTTATTTGTTTATTATTTAAAAGAGAGAGAATGGGGGGTTAAACAACAAAAATAAAATAAAATAAAACAAAATAAAGAACCAATAAAAAAAACGGCAGATATTTTAAACTAATTAAGGGATCTAGAAACTATAGCATTGGTGATAATGGCGTGTGAAAAAGAAGCGAAAGACCGGTTTGTTTCATATACTCAAATTCTAATCATTAATTTTGTTATAGTGTTTTTCTCTTGTTAAAAATTTAAATTTCAAATATTATAATAAAAAATTACGATTTAAGTATACATTCTAAACGGGCCTGAAACTACGAAGATCTTAACTGCAAAATACAATCGTTAAGTTGAAAACGACAGGAAGCACACAACACTAGTAAATGCAACAATAACGTAGGAAAGACAGTCACATAGCGCAATGGTGAAAAACGAGAAGCGATAATAAAAATAAAAATACTAAACTGAAAGAAAAACAGTTTCAACACGATAAATGTGAAATAAGGACAATAAAATGGAAAACGACAGAAACTAAAAACTAAGGTAAAACGACATAAAAATTAAAGAAATGATAAACATGTTCAATAGTTATGCTTTGAAACGAAAAAGTCTGGAATGCCGAAAGTTCAAATAAAATCCATAAAAGCGAAAAGAAAAGTAAAAGATGACATTAAAACCCAAGAACCGACAATGAATAACCTTCTTTTAAAAAGTCAATAACAATAAAACAACTTCAAGAAAAAAACAAAAAGATTAAAAATCCGAAACAACATAAATATATGACAACTAGACGAACAACGGAATGAAAATCTGTAACCGACATTAACGGAATTTGACACCAAGAAAAAAACGACAAAAGATCATAACAGGGTAAACGACAATAAGTTCAAAAAACGATAGCAAGAAGACCGCGTAACTCGTAAGAGAAGTTATTGAAAAGGGAAAGGCCAAGCTAATTTAAGAAAATAAAATAAAATATTGAAACGGAGAAATTTGGAAGAAATAGAAAAAAAAAAATGAGAGGATGCAATTAAAAACGACATTAAATGGAAAAAGCACATAAAACTAGGAAAATAAACAAAATGAAGACGAAACGTGAAAAAAACGACAAGAAAATCGACAAAAAAAAAAAATTCACGAGAAAACCGAGCAGCGAGAAAACTACCCAAAAAAAACTGTTATGAAGAAAAGCAAGAAAAGTGAACAAACATTAAAAGGGAAAATAACTAGATAGGCGACTACAAAAGGAAAACGACATAAAACAGGCAAAAAAAAACACAAAAAGTTAAAGACATTGAATCCCCTATTAAAAAAAATACATTGAGAAATGGAAACATAAAAGATCTATAAACGCCAATAATTGGAAAAGACAAGAAAGGAAGAGAAAAAAAACGACAATAAGCAGGCTGCTTATTTTTTTTTATTTTTATTTTTTTGCTAATGAAGCAGGATACTTAATTGAAAACGACGTCGAAGCCAAGAAACGAGAACTGAAAAGAACGACACTGGAAACGACATAAAACATTGAAACCTCAAAACTTGGAATAGTAAACGACAATGGAAATGAAAGCAACAAAAAAAATCTAAAATCAACAAGCATTTTAAAACTACAATAAGATTATGCTACTATGACATGAAAATGACTAGAACAACCAAAATTAAAGATAATATTAAATTGAGCGAAAAAATCGAAATTAGCATTAAAAAAAACAGATTAATGGTGAGTAATAAACAAGATTATCATGATCCACATGATAAGGAGATCACAACTGAATGGTAATTATGCAGAATTACGTTGCTGGTAAGGATTCAAAAGCTGAACTGTATTTTTCTTACCAATTCCCAAAAAAAAAATCCCTCAAAATATATATATATATTATATTGACAGCTGACATCTCCTGTTTTTTGTTACAAATTTATAATTGATCAAAATCAATAACTGATGCCTTAAAGCCCCAACATATTGATACTACGGCTGACCACCCGCTCAATAACTATGGGTTCAGCCTTGACTCTTGAGGAAGGGCTAAATCAAATTTAATGAACCATTTGAAAGCGATCATAACTTCATACTCTTTTTCTTCAAAACCATACTAGAGAAGAAAAACCTTTTTCATTGTACTTTGGTTTGTGTAGAAAGTTCATAATTGAGTGAAGCTTTGAATTAATAAAAAAATAAAATAAAAGAAGAAAGAAAACAAAAAAGAGACTTCGGGGTTATTCTTTTAGAGTGTAACTTGAGTGTAATTTTTGAGTTAAATTTGAGTTATAACTTGAGTTGAAGTTGTAACTTGAATAAAGTTGATTAAAGTTGAATAAAGTTAGAACTTAAAAGAACATGACTCGAATTGTCTTTTTTAAAATTTTTTAGACAAAAGAACAACCCCATAACTCTCTGAGTACAAAGGATGGGCCATAGGACGCACTACGATAAGCAAAGACTCAGCAAAAGGAGAGATGAGTATTTATTTCGAGACTTTTGCCGTGGAAGCAATTCGATTATGTCTGTTCAATCCAAGCAGTTGGGAGGTCTTTTTAATATTTGCTATCTCTTACGTCTTTTTGTAAATTTAAAGATCTACTAATAAAACGTAAAGAAATCAACCCAATTCCATTAAAAAAAAAGCCCTAATTTTCACTTATATCACCACAAATCCGCTACAAAAGAGGTTGGTGCCACTTGTTTATTTTGTCCCTGCTTTCTGTCGTTCGCTTGCTTTAAACTCATTCTTTCTTCTGACTCAAAAAACGTGTGTGAGAGAGAGAGACACCCAAAAGCAGAAAAAAATGTTTTTAAGAAGCTGAGTTTTGATATATGCCACGTTCACGTTCGTTGGCAACACAGTCTATGATATCCCTACTCAAAATGACTATAATACCCTCATAGGAAGTGGAAGAATAAAGGAAAGATCACGGGTATAAAAGTAATTTCTGAGCTTGCACCACCAAATAAGTTCATTACCTGTCATCTTCACCTCCAACCAGTAGGTTGGAATGTAGTTCTCATTCTACACATATCTCCCGCCTAAGTCCAACTTAACCGTTGCTTTAAGATATGGAAAGTACTGTAACTCTCTTCATCGAGAAATAGAGATCTAGAGACTGGAGAATTGAACATGGTATAAGTTGTAACAACCATTAGGTGAGCCATCCAAAAAAAAAAAAAAAAAAACCCACAAAGGAATTTTCTTTTCTCTCTTCAAAGTCTCTATCTTTTCTTAAATACACGCCCATTTATGATTTGAATCTCTTGAGTTGTTAGGCATTGAACATTACTAATAATAACCTGAAAAAACCCAAGTCCCAAATACTGCACAACCTCTTTTCCAACAAGGACTTAGCAAAGACTTGGCGGAGATGAGAGTTTTCATCTCAGCTTTCTTCTTTATTGCCATCTTTTCTTATGCAGGTAAGCTTGTAATCTCTTCTATTATAAATTATAATTAGAACTTTATTTATGTATTCATATAATCTTGATATTGTATACTTTTTCTCTATGCAGTCGCATATGATCCTTTGGATCCAAATGGAAACATAACAATCAAATGGGATGTCATGTCTTGGACAGCAGATGGCTATGTGGTAAGAACCTTTTTTTTATTATTATTTTCTTTATTTTCACAAAATTTTTTTTTTTTTTTTTTTTCATTTTCATATCACCAGTTAATTCAGATATGTGTTTGCACTTGCAGGCAGTTGTTACAATGAACAACTTTCAAATGTACAGGCACATTATGACCCCAGGATGGACCTTGGGATGGACATGGGCTAAAAAGGATGTGATATGGTCCATTGTGGGAGCTCAAACCACTGAGCAAGGAGACTGCTCAAAGTTCAAAGGCAACGTACCTCACTGCTGTAAGAAAGACCCTACGGTGGTCGACTTGTTGCCCGGCGTTCCTTACAACCAGCAATTCTCAAACTGCTGCAAAGGCGGCGTCCTCTCCTCATGGGGCCAAGACCCTGCAGCCTCTGTCTCAGCGTTCCAGGTCAGTGTTGGCCTAGCCGGTACTTCTAACAAGACGGTGAAACTCCCCCGCAACTTCACTTTGCTCGGTCCCGGACCTGGCTACACCTGTGGCGGGGCCAAAATTGTGCCCCCTACCACTTTTCTCACCCCCGATCACCGCAGAAAGACTCAAGCTCTGAGTAGGTTTTTGTTCCCTTTCTTTTAGATGATCATGATCCAACTTTTTTCAAATTTTCTATGCAGATATGATCTCATCTTCGCTTTTATATATGCAGTGACATGGAATGTGACCTGCACATACTCACAGATTCTGGCGAGGAAAAATCCTAGCTGTTGCGTCTCTCTATCATCCTTCTATAATGATACAATCACTTCTTGTCCTCATTGTGCTTGTGGTTGCCAAGACAAGCGAAATTGTGTCAAGTAAGTTTCTAATTCCAAACATCTCCAATTTTAGTATCTGTAACAAAGTGTTAGAACCGTGATGAAAATAATATTGTTTTTCAGACCCAACTCAAAAATTCTTAAATCGGTCGGAATAAACACTCCGAAGAAGAGCAACGCCCCGCTGCTGCAGTGCACCCACCACATGTGCCCGATTCGAGTCCACTGGCATGTGAAGGTCAACTACAAGGACTATTGGCGGGTGAAGGTCGCCATCACAAACTTCAACTATAGGCTGAACTACACGCTTTGGACACTGGCTATTCAGCATCCCAACCTTGACAATGTCACGCAAGTCTTCAGCTTTGACTACAAGCCTCTTGTTCCTTACGGAAACATAAGTGAGTCTCCATAAAAAAAAATTCTTCATATAGTTTTGAACTATTTTTCAGATGGTAATAATGTTTATATGTGTCCACCAAATTTTATGCAGATGATACGGGTATGTTCTATGGCTTGAAATTCTATAATGATTTGCTAATGGAAGCTGGGCCATCTGGGAATGTTCAGTCTGAGATTCTTCTTCAAAAGGACAAGAACACTTTTACTTTGAAGAATGGATGGGGATTTCCTCGGAAGGTCTACTTCAATGGCGAGGAATGCTTGATGCCTCCACCTGATGCATACCCTTATCTGCCCAATTCTGCCCATAAAAACCTCCTGATTTCCTTCTCAAAACTGATTTCCTCTTTGCTTTTCCTGTTCATAGTTCTTCAGTGATTGGTTATATACTTTTGCTACATTCTTTGTATGTGTTCAAAAATTTTGGAGATATGGTGCACAGAGTATAAAGTACTAATACATGCCTTGAGAGAAAACGAGACCCTTGTTTGGCCAAGTCATGAAAGAACAATACTTCAGTTGTATTTTGATTTGTGCCTTGTGAATAGAGAGATTAAATACTTCCATTTGTATAACAGAGATTATAAATTGGTAGAACAAAGCAGCAAAATGAGAACGCAAAGATAAAAAAATAAAAAAATAAATATTTATTGTACTATCAAAACCCCAACTCACATTAATTGTTATTTATCCTTGTATCTGTTACATATACAAAACAAAAACTACGAGTAACAAAATGGCAGTGAATTCACCATCCATGAAGCTACAAGGAATTAAGATCAGCACCACCTCAATTCATTAAATATTTGGTTCAAAATTCAAATCACCCATGTTCAAGAACAACTCGGTTGCTAGACCGAACTATCGGGGTGAACTAGTCCGCTTGAGAATTTAATTACTTACACATTTACAAGAACACTGACTTAAGCAAACGCATATATGAATGCGAATGTCAATATGGAAGTTATGAATAAAGTGAGCAGCGAGATGTACTTTCTTGAGCCGGCGTTTGGCAACATTGGATAGGCGTCGGGGGGTGGCATGACACAATTATCACCATTGAAATAAATCCTTTGAGGGAAAGCCCAACCTTTCTCAAAACTAAAAGTCGATTTATCCTTCCGGAAGAGAAGCTCCGACTGCACGTTGCCCTTAGGTCCAGCTTGCATGAGCAAATCATTGTAGAACTTTATCCCCCATAGCATGCCAGTATCATCTGTTAAAAGAAGAACGTTACAAGACATCATAAAAGAGACACAGAACAATTAACATGACAACAGAATACACAGACAAAGGAGATTTTCCAATAAGTTAGGATGGACTTACTTATCGATGCATAAGGTGTTAATGACTTGTACTTAAAACTGAAAATCTGGGTCAGATTTTCAAAGTTGGGGTGTTGGACGACTAAGTTCCATTGCGAGTAGTTTGACGCGTAGTTGAAGTTTGTAATCGTGACCTTTACCCGCCAATATTCCTTGTAGTTTACTTTAACATGCCAGTGAACTCGGATAGGGCACATATGACTGGTACATTGCACCAGAGGTGTAATAGCATTCCTGTTAGAACCTTGGACAACTGAAGCTATATGTGGCGACTTCCCCCTGTAAATTATGCAAATATCTGAGAAAATAACCTCTTTTTTTTTTCTATCTTTAAAAGGTGACATTGTTTCTAGATGAGAAAACTTACTCCACACAGCCTCCCGTCGTGTTACTTTTACAGCCACATGAACAAGTAGGGCAGGAAACTATTGTATCATTGTAAAACGATGAGAGAGAAACACAGCAGGTTGGGGTTTTGGAAGCCAGAAATTGTGAATATGTACAAGTAATGTTCCATGTCACTGCCATTAAAAAAATAGAGGTGGATTAGTCCAAAATCTCAGCAACCTTACTGATATATTAGCATCCAACAACATATTATGTTTAACTTCTTACTCAAAGCTTGTGTGACTCTCCGTTTATCCGAGGTAGTGAATCTGCTGGGCTTGACAATGCTTGCACGTCCACAAGTATAGCCAGGCCCCGGTGCTTTGAGAGTCACGTTTTTCGGCGCCCTGACTGTCTTGTTGGTTGTTCCTGAGCTACCAACACTTATCTGGAATGAGCCTACAGCGTTAGCTGGATCTTGCGCCCATGAACTGAGCACTCCCCCTTTGCAGCAATTTGCAACCTGTTGATTGTAAGAAGTCCCAGGCAATAAATCGACGACTGTCGGGTTCTTCTTGCAGCAATGTGGGATATTCCCTTTGAATTTCGAGCAATCTCCTTGCTCTGTGGCTTGGCCTCCCACCATGTTCCATATAACCTCCTTCTTTGTCCATGTCCACCCCAGTTGCCATCCTGGGGCTTCGATGTGACGGTATTGCTGGAAGTTGTAAAGTGTAACAGTAGCCTATTGAAGAAAATTAAGACCCGAATTAAGTATTTAATCACCCCAATCCGTGGATAAACAGGTCTCAAGTGAACAATATCAAAGTGTTGCTATTGGTAATTACCAAAACAATTCTTATTGGTTATTTGACTAATAAATTAAAATAAACATATTAAAGCTCTAAGAAAAAATCATATAAATTTCATTTGGTCTAGGATATTCACAAATCAGCTCAAAAAAGCAAAAATTAGCAACTATTTCTTTTCACGTATTCTTTATTTCATACAACCTAATAAGTGAAATATAAAGTGATACAACATGAAAAATCAATCTCAATGTTGTAAATAAGTTAATTATATAACAAATTAGTACTTACAACATAGCCATCAGCGGTCCAGGACATGATGTCCCATTTGATTGTAATATTTCCATTCGGGTCAAGTGCATCATAGGCTTCTGGAGAAGAGTAAAAATAAAATTGTTAAAAACCTTTGTGGTAAATAATGTAACTTTCCATTAAATGAAAACAGATTTATATGCACAATTAATTAAAAATAAGAAACGGGGGAAATTCTATTATCAAACAAAGCTAGTAAAACAGAGGAAGAACTAATGGATTTCCATTATTGCCCATGAACATAAATTCACTGTAGAACTTGGGGGGAATGCAAAAGGAAAAACAAAAAAGTAAATTGTACTTCAACAAATAAAATATCAGATAACGAGTTATATGTTTCACAATTTTCTGAATTTGTTAAGGGCGAATATAAGAGAAATTTTATTTAATTGTGAAATTTATATCTCCATTCGTGCACTAATTATACAGACTCTGCTTCCAGGGGCGAACATCATTACACCATCACCAAAAGCATTAATTTTCTTTTATATTTTTTATTTGATTATTTTCACAAAAGAAAAAGAGCTTTCTGGAAACAGGAGCACTCGGGCAAGAGAAATTAAAAAAAAAGCTTTTGAATTTCTACTTTCTTTAAAATGAAAAAACACAATACAATCCTATTCCTATCAGACCAAAATTCCTTATCCAACTACCTCGGTAATAATACATAATAATTAAAAACATATCAAAACAAAAAAAGATAAATAAATAATCATAAAGAAGGAAGAAATGCAGGAAT